CAGTATTCATTATAAATCCAAAGCAGTAAAAATATATTTTTTTATTCGCTTTATGTAACAGCGATATATATTTTTTTTATTTTTTTTATTATATAAATAAAGGGATCCCATGGCCTCGCCATTTTTTATTTTAACGCGATCGTGTTAAGTATTGGTTATTATTTATACCGTTATTTCGATTCCACCTATAATTTTTATTTAAAATTAGTAATTTGGGTTGTCGCATAAAAAGTTATTGTTATGTTTGCTATAAGAAAAAATTTTATTTATATAAGTCGTAAAACACCGTCATGAAACGTAACATAACATACTGTAAGAGGCTGTATGGTTATTGTTGTCAGACCTATGTAATAACCATAATTTATTTTTCGAGTTATGAATAATAATTATTGCTTAAATTTTAATATGCAAAATAACTATTTATAAACAGGATATTTTAGCAATAATATATATATATTTTTTCAACTTTATTACATTCTTTATTCTTATTTCTATATTATTTGATTACAGGATTATAGAACATCTTTGAGAATATCGGACTGTTTTTAAATAAATCAAAGATTTTACGTAATCTATATTTATATACCTCATCCTCCTCATCACATGGAACATCCATTTCTTCTATATCATCACTAGGTGAACCATACATGTATTTAAACTTCGTACGTTGTATTTTTGGAAAACCACGTACGTCCACTTTACTGGAATTTTCGGATGCCATTTTTCCAATTAACCTCATCGCATTTTCCCGGTTGTTTAATGCAAGAGTCTTAATATGTTTCCCTTCTATCCAATAAATGTTCCAGGTTTCATTCAGATCTGTTAAAACTCCGAAGACTTTAATCCCGTCATGTACATGAAGATCTGCTGAAATCATTTCGCAAATAACCTGCGGAACATGATGAGTTTTCACATCTTTCTTTAGCTCAATAACTGCATGAACACCGGCTATGGGAATTTTTCCCCGGACAGCACTCTCCTCAACCAATATGAGATCAGTCCCACCTCGAACGTTGAATGGCAACAGCGGATTATCAATTATATTAAGAAAGTCTCTCAAGCCGGAAACATCAAAAACCACGATATTTTCAGGAAGGTGTGGGTTGAGATGTTTATTGAGATATCCTAGAATTTGATCCCGCTGTTCTGAGAAAATTTCAGCATGGTTAGACCATTGGTAAGCAACTATATCCTTTGACGAACGTTTTTTAGTAAAAGTTAAAGGAATTATGTCCAATCCAGTACGCATGAGGAGTCTATTAAATTTCTCCAGATTAATTGATGAAAATGAAACAGTCTCAGTATTTTCTTCTGTCAACTTTTCCAATATTGCATCGATCTTTGTTACAATTTCATTAGTAATCGATGATGTTCCAGTGGCTTGAGCAAGCGAAATGAAAGAAGAGATGTCAACAATTTGAATTTCGAATCAGCGTTAGAATAATATTCATTAATAAATGAAATTATTGCGGAGAAAGCAGTATAGGTTTGGAATATTCGAATGCAGTCGTGGTACTTACCTTGCTCTTCGCCTCGGAGCCTTTTAACGAAGTTTACAATGTCTTGTGCTGGCCCATATGGTAATTCGAAGGGACCTGGTTTTTGAATTAGTATTTCCACAGTCAAGGAAAGAAATGAACTTCCGGTGACTTCTTGATCTTTAAGGGTAGTGAAATATATTTCCTTTAGCTTTAAGCCATACTTGCGCAAAAAATCGATTAGTTCATCTGTATCCCATTCTTTTATTTCGTCTGTTGCAGGAAGAGAAGCCTTTTCTCCAGAAGAAGTACTTGCCGAAGTAGACATGTTTATTGAGTAGTACAGTCCGGATACCACACCCGTAATCGCTTTTTTAAAAAATAACAAATTCGTTACAACACTAGATATGCCTCAGTGGCTGAAATATACACGCAAAGTAAACATGCATATTTAACATGTGGCATGAGCCAATTGACCGACTTTGGTTAGGGTAAGAAAAATGAAAAATGTCACAAATAAATTATGCATATGTGGAATTATTATATCTTTGTTACGTGACAAATTATAATGATCGTTATTCTGATTTATTATTTGTATCGTAGCTCCTTTAGAAATGATCACATTCACATCGCTTATATATTCCATTCGCTACTTTTTTGCATGTTTTACAATATAAATGTGAATGATGATCGCATTCGTCACAAACCTTACACCCATGCTTCCATCCTCTAAAGATATGCCACTTTTCGAAGCAATTTTGTTTATCTTTACGTATGAGTATGCTATTCTGACCTTTCATTGT